GTGCTACCAAATCAGTTAAGTAAACAGTCAGTCTTGCCTGGAGGTGCTCCCATCCCCTAGCTCAGGCAGTGAAAACCTGCGGCTTTGCTGGTGGGAGCAGAACAGCAATAAGTTTAAAGGGGAGATTCTGAAAATGGGAGAGCCCGAGAAGGGCTGAGGTAATAAATTATACACACACACACACAGGAGACCCCGGGGAGCCCTACAGGAATGAAAAGTCTGTGCAGATTTATAACTTACTGTCAACTGAGAATTTTATATCCAGTGAAACTATCATTCCAACATTAATATACCCAGTGAAACGATCATTCCAATATGAAAGTGAAATATTTTTCCTGATAAACACAAAATGGGGGCATGTGTTGTTGTCAGGCCTATGGAACAAGAAATACTATAGAAATTCCTTTAAACTACATGGAAGAGACACCAGACAGTAGGTCAGATCCACAGGAAGGGATGAAGAGAACTGGGCAATGTTAATATGTGGACAAACATAAAAGATTATATATACTATTTTCCTTTCTTCTCCTAATTTTTCTAAAATGAATGTGACTGTTTAAAACAAAACTCACAACGCTATATTGTTAGGTTTGTAGCATGTAACGATGTAATACATGTGACAAAGAGGTAACAGAGCTACAGTGGCAGGAGGTCCCTACAGTTTACTGGATGTTAGTATCGAGTACACCATGATAAATTAAAGATGCATATTGTAATCCCTAGAGTATCGCTAGGGAAGAAAATTCAGAGAAATACAGCTACAAGTCTACAGAGGAATTAAAGTGATACGACGAAGGTAAGACGAGAGGAGGCAGCAGAGAACTAGAGGAGCAACAAGTGAGACAAGCAGGAAACAAACTGTGAAGGACAGTCTGAATCCAACCATCTCAATAGTTATATTCAATGGGAATAAACACTCCGGTAAAAACATTCTGAAAATGTATGCATGCACATGTAAGTTTATCATAAAGTTTACTGATATAAAGGATATGTACTGCATGATTTACAAATAAACTATACAGTAATCTTTTAAAAATACGGTACAGGAGAAGAGGTACGTGGGAAAAAAGGGTTAAGAAACCCGAGGCCAGAAGGAATCAGCACTAGAACCAGATCTCCCACAGATAAAGGGCTAACATTTAAAGCCAGCACACACACACACGCATGCCTGCACACATCGATCCGTGTGCACGGCGCAAAAAGATGCTGAGAATTCATTATTATCAATTTACTACAAATAGTGGGCACTCCGATGCAGTGAATGAAGCTTCCTGCATGGCATGATTTCTAGACTGGACACCCCCCCAACATTTTACTACAAAAATCTTTAAACTGGGCACCTGGGTGGCTCAGTTGGTTAAGCGACTGCCTTCGGCTCAGGTCATGATCCTGGAGTCCCGGGATCG